ACAACCTCGACCCAGGCGTCCCCTTCAGATGGTGGCGGGGATCATCCTCGCCTGTTGGTGCTGACCCCCAACACCCCCCCAACACCGACCCACAACCCCCCACCCCAACCACTACCTACCACACCACCACTCACCACACACTACCCAAAACCTACTACACCTACCACAACCCCCCAACCTACAACCCCACATAACTATACGGATCACCACTTATATACCCACCACGTAACCCATCCAACTACACACTAACCACCTGTTCATCCCCCGTACTTTATGCCGCCCTGACGCCCGTGGAGCTTATAAAAAACATTAAATTTCGCGTTCGAGCACGTCTTCTCGATCTTAATGGGAGATAGCCAACTTCCCAAAAGTGACTCCACTCGATGAACCCAACCTCGTCCCCGGCTTCAACCTTCGCGCGAGGAGATGTTTGAACTGGTCAGACGAGTATCTGCAGACAGTGAGGGCTGCCAGCAAGCAGGAGCGGCGATCGAGGGCGCGGCGCAGCTCGCAGCTTCAGGGGCCGGAGGATCGGGCGCCAATCAGCGACCGGTCTCGTCCTCTGCCTGCGCCTGACCTTATTCTCCGACGGCAGCGGACCCTTGCCGCCAAGTCCGTACAGACCTCTCACTCATACCCGATGCCGCTACTGCTGCCTGCTGTGTCTTGCCTTCATAAGCTTCTGCCTCATCAAAACTACCTGTCGATCGGTGATCAATCTCACACCTCCTGATGGAAGATATCCTTCATACCAACCGGCAAGTTTTACTGTCGTGACCGGCAAAAGTCATTGTCGTGCATCAAGGAACGCCGTCAGGCGGTGACCAGGTAGGCCCAGATTCGGTGAACTACGTCGGGCTCCCCCTTGGGCAGGGGGTAGAAGGGTTCGGATAGTTCGGCAAGCCTCCACTTGCCGGCTTGTTCCAAGCCCGCCTGATACTCTTTGAACCCGCCCTCTTCATACAGGTCCACTCGCAGGCTGAACACTATGAACCCACCGGGCTTGGTGATGCGAACCAGCTCGTCGAAAGCGTGGGCCGGGGCATGGCCTGTGGTGAACACTCCCACGCTGATTACGGCATCGAACGAGCCGGTGTCATAGCCCAACTCCTCCCCGAGCGTCATCTGGCGCAGGTCTTTGTAGAGGTCCTTCCGACGGGCTTCCTCCAACATGCCCACGGAGAGGTCGATGGCGTGGAGATCCCGGTACCCTAGCTGCGCCAGACATTCGCCCACCAGTCCGGTCCCCGCTCCCGCATCAAGTATCTTCGTCCCGGCGGGGACATGCCTGGCGAACAGGTCGGTCGCCGTTTGCGGAGCGTTCCAGGCAAACTCCTCAGCCAAGTCTTTATCGTACTGCGTTGCCCACTGGTCGTAGCGCTCCTCCAACTCCTGGTTGGTGGATGAGGAGTACACCCATTGGACCCTGTTATGACTGTCTGGCATGTTACTTCCTGCAGATGAAGAGACCCCAGCCCACTTCGTCTCTGTCGACGGCGGCGGCAGTCTCGATGTAGGCGGTGGTCAGCCACTCGTAGTGTTCGGCGTAATCCAAAGTTTCATCCTTCGGCGTGCGCTCGGACAAGCACAGATAGCTCTGTTTCAGGTGTTGGGACACGTTCAAGGCCTCCAACACGTCGAAGCCCTGGTCCTTCAGGGCCTGCTTGTACGACTCGAAAGTGAACTCGGTGTCGAACAGCAGCCTGTCGTAGACGTAGGTCTGGGCTTTGTGTGTGATGTCCCGCCTAGGCCTGAGTAAGTCGTCGAACACGAAAATCCCGCCGTCCGCCAGAACCCGGTGGACCTCGCTCAGGATCTTGCGCTTATCCGGCACATGGTATATCACGGCTTGGCTCCATACGTGAGTGAATGAGCCGTCCGGGAAGGGAAGGTCAGTGGCAGAGGCCTTCTCGAAGGCTACCTTGTCCCTGAGTTCGGGGCATAGCTCAGCCCGTTTCTCCAGTGCGTTTGCGACGCGGACTCCGCTGAGGTCAATGCCCGTCACCCTTCCGCCGCTCTCGTTAGCCAGCCAGATGGCGGTGGTTCCGTTGCCGCAGCCCAGGTCCAGGACCGATGAGTCCTGGCCAATGCTGGCCTTTTCGGCCATCGTCCGGTTCAGCCTGTCGCACGCTTCGAGGAAGTCCATGTCGCCGCTTTCGTCGAAAAGGCCCCAGTGGACGCTTCCATCTTCGTCCCAGACCAACTGGTATGTGCCGTCTTGTGAGTCGTAATATGCCTCGGTCTCCTGTTCAGAAAATCTGCTGACCATGTTTTGCTCCCCCGATATGTTCAACGAGTCGGTTGCCGTTGGTGATTCGGGGTCTTCCACGGGACAGATGCACAACACTTCTGGCGTCACGATTCCCCTGGGCGTGTAGGATAATTCTGAATTGGCTGTACGTCGCTTGGCCGCAGAGATCGCCAACAAGCCAAAGCATCATAAAAACAATTGGTATTTAGTGAAGACGCAGGTTGACCCGGCGGTGAGGCTCAGACTAGAGGACCTAGGGGAGAGGGTGGAAAACCCCAGTGATGGGACGGGGCAGCTAAGGCTCGCAGGGATAGTTATATCGCTCGCGGCCACGATAATGCACTGAGATTGGGTGACAATGCCCCGGTCGGGGGCTGCTAGAGCGTATTTGCATGGAGCACGTTAAAGTCCTTGGGCGCGGAGGCCTTGCCAGCCTCCAACATCAACCACTACCCACTTGACTGTGCCCGAGTCTAGCAGCAATTCTGCTACGCGGTCAAGGCCGCGTAGCAAGTACAGGGGTTGGAGCTCGGTTGCCACGAGAGCACGGGGAGTTGGGCTGGCGTGCTGAGGGGCTTGAGAGATCGTGGGATGAAGGCGCCGCTGCTTGCTGTTGGCGATGGCGCTTCTGGGCTTTGGTCGGCGCTTGATGCGGTGGTCCCCACGACAGCTCACCAGCACTGCTGGAACCACCGGACGCTGAACGTGCAGGCCAAGTTGCCGAAGGCGCTGCACGCCGAGGCGAGACGCAGGCTGAGGGAGATGTCCGCTGCTATCAGGTCACTGCTCGCCTCAGCCGTAGACTACATGTGGCCATGCCGGGACCGGGTCGACAGATCAAATTTAAGGCATCTGAGCCAGTTGCATTGCGAGTCAAACCCGATGCCAGATGACCTACATATATCATCGCAGTTGCATTGGTTTTGACAAACCCGCGTGTTGACAGCGTGGCGTGAGCTGACGATCTGGATGGATTTAGCGGTAGAGATTCTGGGTGATGGTCGCCTTCACGGATACAGCGAGGCATTGGGGCTGTACGTGTGCTGGGAAGATGGGGAGCTTAGATTCTTCGATGCTGTGACGAAGAACTACCTTCGCTCTCACCCTGGGGAGACGACTCGCGCTGTCACTGCCAAGGCGCGCGTGGTAGAACTTGAGGCCGAACTTCGACACTTACGCGGCGAATAGCCCCTTTCTCTATCGTCCAGCGTTAGCCGGGTAAAGAAAATGCAGCTAGGTAAGAACCATGTCTTGGCGGGTGCGTAAAGGCAACCCTCCCAACTGCTGAATACATCTTACCACGTTGGCAGAATGTCGTAAGAAATGCGATGCAAGGAAACATGGTTTTTTCTTGCATCGGCTTTCGGGATGTACTCTGGTGCCCCGCTCGAAAGTGTGCCGTGTTCAGCAAGTACCACGCCGCGGAACAGGATGCGCTACTCCGCGGCGACCTGCCTGAGCGTCGCGCCCGCCCTGAAACACACGCTCCTGCGCGCCGGAACCTCGATGAGCTCGCCCCTGTTCACGCCTCGTATGGGACGTACCCTTCGCTCTCTCATCACTCTCGCCTCGAACGTGCCGAAGCCCATAAGAACCACCCTGTCTCCCTCCCGAACTGCATCCGTGACGCTCTCCAGCACTGCGCTGAGCACCTGCTCCCCACGGGCCTTTGAGCAGCCCATCAGCTCAGCCACCCTCACCGACACCTCGCGCTTGTGAAGCGTATCGCTCATCTGAACCTCCTCCGCGAGCCATCCCTTACAGCGACCTCGTGCGGTCACCGCTTCAGGTCATCGCACATTATGCGGAGGGAAGCGCCAGAGGGCAAGAGTGCGCCTTCGATAGCCGGGGCAGTCGGCGGCACCAACTATCGGCTCTCGATATTGGGCGAACTGTCCGGCCATGACCTCCGGTTCTCGTTGAGTCAGTCCCTTCCGACTGTAACTCACCATTCGCCCACGACAAGTCCAGGTTCAACGCCTCACTGTGTGACAATGCCCAATCGTCACTCTCTCGTCGCATCACAATGCGAGAGTATTTACCATCAACTAACCGCTCCCCCAACCGAGGCCCACCGTAGAACTCCCCGCCGGTCGCATCGTAGCGCCAGTGTTCACACGCTCCCGACTCCGCATGCAACTCGCGCTTTCTGACATGGTCGGCATTCGCTGTGCTCTCCGATGGGATCTCCAGAATGAAGTTCGGAGCCTTGTCCACCTCGATTCAATCACACAGGAGACGACTGAGGACCTTGCAGCGCAGGGTGCGCCAGTGACGAAGCGTGATGGTGGGTCAGTTAGTATATGCTTCTGCGCGGCGGAGTGCAGAGAGTGAGGCTAACCTCGTGGACATCGGACCTGTAAGCGACAATCAGAGGCCGTAGACATGTCGGTAACATTTCTCGATGAGGCAACAGGCCGGCAAAATGGTTGACGTGCTACAGTCAGAGCGATGGTGTCTCCATACGGCGCAAGTTCCATTATGGTCTTAAGGAACTTGCAAGACTTGACACCATCGCACTTATCGCCTTGATGAGGGCGAAAGAGACAAAGAACTGAATGAAAAGCCAGGCCACTTTCTCGCCAAACGCCTCATTCAATATTCTTAGCACCTCGCTGGTGATTTCTGGCTAGGACATGCGGATGTGTTATCATCGGCATACCCCGCAAGCAAACGTAACTAGGAGGCCGCATATGGAATCGAGCATTTCGCTGGCTGAAGACTCGATGCTTGACCCGGAGATTTCACCGAGGGAAAAAGCGAGAACTACCAGGTTGAGCGTCGCGTCTTCGATCCTGATCACTGGAACGACCGGATTCCTGGGTTCCTTCTTGCTCGACCAACTCCTTCGTACCACAGGACAGGACACGAGGTTTTACTGCCTCGTACGTGACCGGGACCCTGGGCAGGGGAAATCCTCCAACCGGGTGCTGGAGACCCTTAAGTTCTATGGACTTGAGAGCTACTCCGCCGATGAACGGATGATCCCTATCGTTGGGGACCTTACCCTTCCACGGATGGGTCTGGACAACGATCAGTATCAGGCTCTGGCGGAAGACATTGACCTGATATTCCACTGCGCCGCCTCCGTCAACTACACATACCCCTACACCACAGCCAAGCCCCACACCGTCGGAGGCACGTTGGAAGTGCTCAGGTTCGCCTGCACCGCTACGCCAAAGCCGGTCCAGTACATTTCATCCAACGGAATCTTCCCAGGAGGAGACGACACTCCGTATCTGGAAAACAACGAGATAGACGACTTCGTAGACCGCATGGAGGGAGGCTACAACCAGGCCAAATGGGCCGCGGAACGGCTGGTGTGGAGCGCCGTATCGCGCGGACTGCCGGTGTGCATATACCGGCCGGGCAACATAGGCCACCATAGCCGCACGGGCACAGTGAATCCCAACGACTTCCTGTCGTTGATAATCAAGGCCTGCGAACGCTTGGGGTGCGCACCCCTGGTGCCGGACTGGTTTTTTGAAATGACCCCCGTCGACTTCCTGGTCGACGCCATCGCCAAGGTGGCCGACGATCCGAAACACTTTGGTAAGGTCTACAACATCGTACATCAAGACCCGGTCCCGGCAGACCAGGTTTTCGCCGGTATGGAAAGCAACGGACACGTAACTGAGCGCGTTCCGCTGGAGGACTGGAAGTCAGGATTACAGGCAGCGGCCGACCGCGACGACGACCCGGAGCTTAAAGTCTTGGTCCACTCCCTGGACTCAGTGGAACCGTATCTGGCCGATACCAGCGTCTACGACATAAGCAAGTTCACCAAAGCACTTTCGGAAATTGGTCTTACAATGCCTGCAGTTGATGCGGACTACGTGACCAGGTTCCTGGAAAAATAACTGACGGGCAACGAGTCTTCAGGAAGGAGAGCAGGGCGGCAGTTGGCTGCCCGCTTGAAACAGGCAAGGTCCTTTGCCCGGGCTTATTTTGCGCGGCACTCCTTGACGAGGGGTTAACTCTCCACACTTGACTTCGTATCCGTTCGCGCCTCTCCAGGGGCGGCTGTGACCGCCAGCTTTGCCTGTAGTTCCAGTAAAAGGCCGGGCTGGCAAGCCCAGGAACATTATCCGCAAGACTCGCACAATAGCTGGTAGAGAAAGGGAGGCAAGATCATACCTGCGAAAAGCTATTACAGGTATCCAGGATGTGATTAATGCATTGACCGCCCCCGTTCTCAGGAGTGGCACTATTCGCTGTGAGGAAGGCGATATAGTCAATGGGGTGAACACCAACTCCCGCTTATCCGAGAATCTGCAGGCCGGCGACTACACCATAGGGACGACCACCTACTACGCGCAGACTAGCGGCGACCCTAACCTGACAATCTCCGACACCACTTGACGGGACACTACTGAGTAACTCTAGATTTTGCGTAGCCGCGCTCTTGTATCGGTAAAGGTTGCATTGTTCGCCTCCAGTCCGCAGGACAATACTGAGACTGCCCGAATCGTCGTCTGGCCCAAGAGTATTGCGGAGTGAGACCTACTGTCAATTGGTAGATGTCAATGTGGCGCGAAAAAGGACGCCCTTCAGAAGAGCGGGGCTCATACGCCAAGAGGGTCTGAGTAACTCACTACATCGAGTCCGGCCAGAGATGATTTCACACTACAGTGCCACAAGGACTTCCGGAGAAGACTCTGAGCATGCACCGGTCGACCGAGTAACAGTTCACCTCAGGAGCCAGTCTTCGGAATGCAAGAAATTCGGGTATTTTATTGCATCTCGGTTCATGTCTGTTGTCATGGTGCCCACTCATTCTTCGATGAATACAAATCATGGGCGTCAATTAGCGGCGGCTGAATCTAGTGTAATTGTCGCTGATCATAATTGCGCCGCATCGACATCCTGGGATCCTGCGTAGTCGGTGCGGAAGTTGTGCGTGTCGACAGCGCTCCCTACGCAGACAATGGCAACAAGGCGTTGTCAACCGGGATATGCGCATAGCCAGGTCTGTGCAGTCGGTAAGCATGTCTTGAGCTAACGGCCAGCCGGTTTCACGTGCGCCTAATCCAGAAAGTCCCGCAATTTCCTGGAGTGGCTCGGATGCCTCAACTTCTTCAACGCCTTGGCTTCTATCTGGCGTATGCGCTCCCTGGTGACCCCGAACTCCTGTCCAACCTGCTCCAGGGTGTGAGAGATACCGTCCCCGAGTCCGAAACGCAGCTCAAGCACCCTCGCCTCCCGCTCGCTGAGGGTGGACAACACATCGGCGATCTGCTCCTTGAGCAACAGATATGACGCGGCCTCCACGGGAGGGACCTGGTTCCTGTCCTCAACGAAGTCACCTAACTGTGCGCCGCCGTCCTCGCCAACCGGCGTCTCAAGGGCCAGGGGGAGCTGCGCGAACTTCCGGATCTCCCGCACCCTCTCAGCCGTAATGTCCATCCCGCTTCCTATCTCTTCATCGGTGGGGTCGCGCCCGTATTCCTGTACAAACTGGCGGTTGACACGATTCAGCTTGTTGACGATCTCCGTCATATGCACGGGTATGCGGATGGTGCGGGACTGGTCCGCTATGGATCTGCTGACCGCCTGTCGAATCCACCAGGTGGCGTAGGTGCTGAACTTGAAGCCCTTGCGGTAGTCGAACTTCTGCACCCCACGCATCAGACCGATGTTGCCCTCCTGAATGAGGTCCGACAGCGGCATCCCCCTGCCGATATACTTTTTGGCAATGCTGACGACGAGCCGCAAGTTCGCCTCTGGGAGATGCAGTTGCGCGCGCCTGCCCGCATTCCCCACACTGGCGAAATGCCTCGAATACACGGGTCATAG